TTACATTTCAGTAGCCGTCTCTCTCCTTGTTGCAACCCTGACTCCTTACAACGTCTGGCTTCTCATTTCTGTGTTTTGTTTTAAGGAAGATGAGGTTGGCGTTGGCCTTTGAGGAGCACAGTGTCATGAGCAGCCATGCTGACAAGGGATGCAGGCATTCCAAGGCTGTGGAGCACCACAGCACTCCGCCTGAATCGATTCCTCTTTCTACTCTATTTTTAGCTGTGTTAGTTCAGGACACACCGGGGTGTCCCAGAAAGGAAAGCAGAAAGATATTTGGGACTCGTTTTCAAAGAAAGTGACAGATTAACTGCAGGCCTTGCCTAAGCCAATCTTCAGTTTATAGAATCCTTTTTCTCCTCGGAGTGGCAAGTGTGACAGTTGCTAGCTGCAAGGCACATCTGTGTAGCAAGGTATGTCGCTACCAGGAGAGCTCTCTCTCTCCCCTTTCCCTAAGAGGTGAGGTGGGAATAGACTGTGGCATATGCAATATTTATCTGGCGTTAGAGACCAGAAGCCACACAAGCTACATGGGTGAAGATGACCATTTTGTCAGCCAAACCCAGTTGGCAGAATACATTTAGCAGCCATGCCTTGTTCTTGGGGTTTTAGTGCAGGTAGGCCCAGGTCCCAGACCTCATCCAGGCAGAACAGTGGTCATCAGATCACACCCAGGAGCAGGAGGGGCTTCTTCTCCAAGTCAGGAGCTAGCCCTGAAACTTCACAACCATTAGCCAAGAATCTGACCTGTAGCACTGACCAGGAGACGACATGGGGAGAGGGGAGACCAAGAATAGAAACGGGGTGGGGTGGGGGGTGGGGTGGGGGATGGGTATGCGGCAGGGTTTGGGAGGTACAATGAAAAATGTAGGGGATTAGCAATATGCAAATGTTGATGAATGTCATTTTATACATTTGACCCAAGCAAGACAGAAAAACCACAGGCCACCACCTGATCCTACAAGATCCATATAACATGGCGACACTAGGTTGTTAAACAGCCAGCTTTGACTCAAATCAGTGGTCCTTTAGGGATGGTCTATCCTGGGAGCAGGCAGCCACCATTTCCCACACTGCTTACCTGCATGACCCCTTTACTGGCAGACTTCAATTTGGCACACAGGCTAAAGTCTCTAGAAAGTTAAGGTGTGTGACCAGGTTACATAACAGGGTGTCTGGACAACAGCAGCAAAGTGGTCTGTCTGATCACGGGAGGACCAGACCTGTTCTCTCAAGACTTGGGCTGAGAGGTCATGAAGGCTCTTCCTTACAGGGCTAACTTCCTAAGGCAGGCATCTTGTCTCCAGTCCCATTGCCTAGCACGAGGTTCCTCCCTAACTTAGTGCATGCAATTTCCCAAGGCGACTATCTATCTTTGTTATTTTAGCACTATCTACATTACAGGTTCTCTGTGCAGGAGACCTGAGTGTTCCTAGGCCCAGCTTGGAGAGTCTATGCCAAGCCAGACACAGTTCTTTCTTTAAGGTGATACTTTGTATCTCCTAACTTAGCCCTCCTCAGAAGCCACTTCTTCTGGGCATTCCAAAGCTTTCATGTAGGTATTTCTTTTTCTTTTTAAGGAAGTATGAATCTGGTCATCCTGATTTTAGCCACACACACATTATACTACCCTTAAATATCATCCTACAGCAATGGAAATTCCAGGGGAGCAGAAGTAATGTTCTATGTCTTTTCTAGTTTTAGATTTATTTATTTTATATGTATGAGTGTTTGGCCTGCATGTTATGTGCAGCATACACATACCTGGTGCCCTTGAAGACATCAGATCCTTGATACTGGAGTTACAGACAGTTGTGACTGCCACGTGGGTGCTGGGAATTGAACCTGGGTCTTCTGGAAAAGCTGTCTGCGCTCACACTCACTGAGCCATCTCTCTAGCCCCCAAGTCCCATTTCTCATATCATAATTCCCACTGTTGACACTGTGCTGAGCTCAGGGAGAGAGGCCCTTTGGTTTTCTGGGCCTGCAGCAGAAACCACATCTCTTTAAAGTATCATTCATCATAAAGTCCCCAGTGAGCGGGAAGACAGTCCGGGTAGGAGTGGTTCCACTCTTGCAGAGGACCAGCTCTGTCAGCAGCACCCGTGTCAGGCAGCTCACAAGTGCCCGCAGGTCCAGCTCCAGGGATTCTGTGCCCGCTTCTGGCCTCTGCAGACACCTGCACTCACGTTCACATATTCTCCACACACCCTGCACACGCGCATATACACATGGTTCAAAAGACAACACATCTTTTTTAAAGGTCTCCAATCCCATGAGGTCAAAGATGATGGCTGGGTTGAATCTGCCCTGGACTGCCTCATTGTCCCTCACATTAACAATGTTTCATTCTGTTGCTGATTGTGTAATGTGAAATACAAGCTCCATGTTTCAGAAGCAGCATCAGTATACACAGCACTCTCAAGAGGTAGAGTGGGTGACCAAGAGCCAGGAGGCTATACAGCAAAGCTGAGGCACTCCAGGGACACGGGGACAGCACCATGTACTTCCAACAGGGCCGTGGAAGGGCTGGGCCAGCCATGACCCCAGTGCAGAGGTTTTGGGAAGGAGGCTGGCTGTTAGACTCAGATAACTGGGCTCCCCACCCAGGGGTAGGAATCAACGCCAGCTTCAAGTTTCCAGAGCAAGACACATGCACACATGCATACCTTCTCACCTCCCTCCATCCTTAAGAGGAACAGAAAGACCAGTTGCATGATGGCCCTGTAAATACAATCTCCACAGGGTGTAACCATACTCCTAGACTGTGGTTCTTAGGGCACCAACAGCTCAGCACCTTCCCAGGCTGATTTGGCCTCAGCTCTGGATTAACAGACTGAGAGCTTTGTCCTCTCTGCTCATCCATAGCCTGAGAAATCATTCACATTTCCAAGAAAATGATTCAGAACCCAAGACACGGGGAACCTTGAGTACCAGATGAGAGTTTGCTAAGGAAGCATCTTGAGGTATCCAATGATGGAAGCTTCTGGAAGAATTCATCAATAGTTTTAAGACATCCTATGGGTGCCAGGGGAGGCCAGGTGGGTGGACCAGTTGGACGAACAAGTCACAGTGGGCAAGGATGGCTCCCCTTGCCATCCTTAAGGGAAGTGGCAACCCAGTCACCTCAGAATAGAACTTGTGGAAACTTCCTGCATCTCTTATGTTCTCCTTTGGTACATGGAGAATACTGTTATGAGTACTTGGCAGCTGCACCCACCTCTGAGTTAAAGCTCACTGGGGCGGGGACTAGGATGTCATTTTACAAACAGTAAAGCGGCCCTAGGTTAGAGTGACAGCTAATACTGTCAGAGAACTGAGCAGGGTGGATGAGAAAAGGTCCTCAGTGAAACAAAAGCAAAGAGCAGAACAGAAAGGGGATTTGGTCCACCGCTCCTTTCTCTAAGAACCCAAAGCAAGACTGAGAACAGGGAGCCGCCTAAAGCTCCCCGACGTCCCTGCGTGTCACACTCTGACCCCACGGACAGAGTGCCGCCCCCCTCATGATTGTGTCTACTCTACGGAGGCCTGGGGCTTGACATGGGTAGGTGTGTGGGTAAACTGGGAGAAGTCCAGCAACTAGCTGTTCCAATTCACAAGAGGTGTCGTATCTAGCTAAGGCTCTTCTTTCTTAGAGGAGAGGCAGCCACAGGAACCAGGGAGCTATTTCCTAGTACCCAGGAAGCTCACACAATTAATAAGCACCATTACAAAAGACAGCAGCATCTGGAGCCTTCTGAGCCCCTTAAAGGATGTGTGCGGACTACGCAAGTCCTTTTACGCTTCCCCTCACTAAAAACAGGGGTAATGTTTGTCCCTACCCAGCTGGTCTCCCACAATGGGGCCACAATATAAGATCAGACCTGTGCGAAGGAGCACAGGCCTCTGAGAAGCGGCTGACTCCAAGACTGGAACAGGAAAAGTTCAGGGTGAGACTAAGGCATCCCACTGCGCTCAACAGCAAGAAAACACACAGAACGTAAGGAGGGCACGGAACAAAAGCACAAGCAGCAGCTTTTCCGTCCACCGTGGGCCAGTTTGAGCATCAAAATGAGCAATGACATAAGTGAAAAATCACACACCAAGTCACACAATCATGAGCCAAGAGCACAAAAATGAGGGGGGGGGAGGGCGTCGGGGGTGGAGCACGCCTGATTGACAGAAGAGAGCCACCTACGATAGACAGAATGAAAGAAATGGAAAGAAAGCCTCTGTTTTATAACCACCATAGCTTTCAAGGTCAACCTCAGCTCTGTAGACTTGGGGGGGGGGGTAAATCTGGGCTACATGAGACTTTGTCTCAAGTAAATGAATAAATAACCCTAACCCAAATCCTTGTTCAACATAACCACCATGGTCTATGGGCTCTCTGAGGGTTAGATCATCCTGGGAGAGACTGCTGTGTGAGAGATGTGCAGAAAGCTGGTGGCTGCCTCTTCGTTTGAACGAGGGACAGGACAAGCCCAACCCAGGTGCAGAGTAAGAGCCAACACCAGCCCTGCTTCACCTGCAAAAGCAAGACCTAAATCTCCTATCATGAGAGCAGCCCAGACCGATGAACATTTGGCAAGGTAAGTGGCGTGGATGCTTTAACATGTCAATGCGACGAAGACTTGAAAACAACTAAAACCTGGAGTCACTCAAGGTGAAACAGGACTAGGCAAACCTGATGGACCTGTGCAATCCAAGACACTAAAACAGATCCTCAGTCAGAAAGAAGTCCAAAGCCATGGATGACGTTACTAGGGTAACTCCAAAACCTTGAAAACGAGGCACCTAACAGCCAAAAATACATACAGAAGAATCTGTGCCCTAAACATGGGGCGGGTAATTGAGGTAAAATGTTAGCAACTAGCAGACATGGGTAAAATAAAAAAGATTCTAGTTCTATTTGGTGAAGTTTCTTTAGGTAGTAAAAAGACCCTGCAAGTCTCTGCAAAGCTCCCAGATCCGCCAGGCCCACCCCACGGTGCCACAGCAGCTGGCCTGGGAACACTCACCTGTCAGGTATTCCAGGACGGCAGCCATGTACACAGGTGCCCCCACGCCGATCCGGTATTTTGGGTGGCCTTTCTTGATGTACCGCAGCATCCGGCCCACGGGGAAGATGACTCCTGCCTTGGCTGACCGAGAGGTCTTGGTAGATTTCTTCTTCCCACCACGGCTCGACATGGTGGTGGCCCCAGAAGCAGATCAGCAAGTTCACTGTGAAGGCAAGGGGCATACAGACATAGTCAGGGCCACTGGGGACAGCTCACTGGCCCCCTTCCAGGCACTGTGGTCTCCTGGTGGAAACAAGTGACAGTCATAACAGGCGGATGCTCAGCCCAATGTCTGAGCCTGGTAAAGAGACAGTACAGTTTTGTACGTTTTACCCTGTGACACCAATCCTGTCGGTCACTTCCATTTAAATGTTATATGGGCAGTGACTGCTCTTAAGTGTGTTGCCTTTATGCCTCATGGTGTAAAAATAATAAAAACAACAGATTTCCTATTATGTTCTACACCTCTTTAATGGTTGTATTTTTATGCCCTTGAGACTGGAATAACAAATCTGTAGTAAGAGGGACAAGTAAGAGGAAAAGAAACCTATGGTCTTCACCCAGAACAAGGACACAAAGCCAAGAGGCTGGATTCCACAATGAAAGTTGTGCATCTCCCCTAGGACCCTGACCTATGACAGCCGGGTACCACAGGTGACAGCTGAAAGAGGCCTCCAGAGCACATGCAGTTCGCTGGGGCTGCCTTGGTGAAGGGGTGTCTCTAGCTCCTACCCACACCCCCGACACAGTCCTCAGCCCAGAGGATGCTCCTCAGTTCCTGTCATGACTGCTCGTCCAGCGTTAACAACGCGGTCACAGGCATCCGCCAAGTTCTCCTTCCCGTACCGGCTCTCCTCCTATGCTCTACCCTGTAGGCCAGTCAGTCTCATCAATCACACTAGGTCAGTGAGCTTCATGCCACAGGAATGACGGGCCCCGGTTCCTGCTTCTCCTACAGGGCTGCATGTGGATGGAGGGCTGAAACTGACTGCACTTGTAGGACAGCAAATGCTCCCACAAGTGTCCACTACAGGGGACTTTGCTGGCCAGATGCGGTCCCTGCCCTCCCAAAGTGGTGGGGGGAGAGATGATTAATAACCCTGTAGTCAATAAATTATAACTGTAACAAATATAAAACTGGAGTGTGAAGCCAGTGTGAGGTACTAAAGATGGGTTGTGAGGGACACCTGTGAGAGACACTGGGTGACTCTGGATTCTCCCTGATGGACTCCCATACGCTAAGACACTAAGGTAAGCCTCCATGATGTGTGAGCCTTCCAGTTCTAATGAGCGTGAAGACCCCAGGGCAAGTAGTTCTTGTCATTCTGACACTCAACTTTATCATGGGGTCTGTGGTCCACCCTAACATCTGCCTGCCAGAGACACAGCTGTGAGGGCGTCCTGGGCATGTGGCACAACTCCAGCCTCTGCCAGGAGCCCTGCACTGTGTCAGATCCAAGGCAGAGTCTTAAGGTTTGGGGTGATGGAGGGTCAGAACTCTTCTGAAGCAATGTAGGGACTCTCTGTGGTCACACTGGTCTAGGACACACCATGCACACAGGTGCCTGGGCTCACTGAGCATGCAGTGTGGGTGACAAACATGTATCTGGTTTCAGGGACAGTTGTCACTGATTCCTACACTCTTCGGCTTGGCAAAAATGTTTCACAGACCAACAACCCAAGGTTTACAGAGCTTTTACTACCAGTCTCTCCCCTCTCCCAGCAGGAGCAGCCTGTGGCCAGGGATGACTGCCAGAAGCTCCGCCCCTTTATGACATGCCAGAAGACTTACAGGTGTATCTGGGCTGCCTCTGTGGACCGCAGTGTTCACAGGAGGCCGTAAGTACCAGGACCTGTCAAGTCCTTCTCTGACAGTAGCCAACAGTCTTTATGCCAAAAAGCTAGTGACACTCTGTGCCTGTCAGTGTGTATCTGGCTACCAGACCCCTATGGCAAAGGCCCAGTTATCAGTCCTACAGTCACCTTAATGTCCTCTGGGTCTCCAGGGCCCATCGCTGGCAATACTGTGCACCATACAACCCAAGCATGAGTTAAGTGTGGCCCTACTTCCTGCTAGACTCCTCAGCCCCCAAGTCCTAGCAGCTCTGCTCAACCCATCTGCAACCCTCACCCCCCACCTGTGCCCCTCCCCGCCCTGATGCAGATTCTTACCTCTCACTGGATTCCACAGCAGGCTTTCTCCAGACACCAGAGCTACTCCTGCCTCCTCCCCATCTCCTTGCGCTCTGAAGTCCCACCCTTACCTATTCCTACAGCTATTCCCACAGCAAGAGCCCTCGGCCACCTCTGGCACCCTGAACCCATCCGTCATGCTGTGTCTCCCACCTGGATGCCCTTTGCTCTCCTGACAGCCTGCTGAACAGAGGTTCACACAGACCCTCCTTGGCCCTGGCCACAGCCAGAAAGACCACTGCTCTGTGTTCCCACAGCCTTGTGTCAGTCTGTGTATGCGTAAGTATATGTGCCCAATTCAGCTGAATGCAAGTGACTGCATGCCAACCACTGCAGGTGGCTCATCATGGATCCCCAAAGCCGCCATGCTGGTGAGAAACATCCCCATATGGCATTGTGTGCCAGGGCCTTCACTAATACAGCAGCCTCTTTGTTCCCGAAACGGAGCTGTGTTGCCGTGGCTCTGTTTAAACTCTTGTGTTCTTGCTGCATTTCTATCTACAGCAACCCAAGCTACAAAGGAACTCAAAGTTCTGAGCCTCCTTACATCCAGCAGTGCCTGGGGGGGGGGGGTTCTCAGCATCCAATTACTTACTACCTGTGGTCTCCAGAGAAGTCTGTGTGTGCCAGGTCCTGCCTGCTCTGAGGTCTCAGGGGTATGGGGAGCTGCAGCTTAGCTCCAGTGTGTGTGTGTGTGTGGGGGGGGTGGCCATGGAGAAGAGGCTATTGGGCACCGTGATCTATAGTAAGATGTTCCACATCAACCTGCCTGTTTCTAATATGGCTCTACTACCACAGTAGCCTTGGTCAAGTAAGTGACTTAGCCCTTGAACCTTTGTTTCCACCTGTCAGTCAGAGATGATGGCAGGAAGGACCTTCACGTATTGGTGGGAATTGGTTGAGTGTGTGAGAAAGGGGCTGACACTGAGCCACTGCTCAGCTGTTAACCAAGACACAGTAGACATAAGACAAGAAACAGCAAGTCCTTGCAGGACAAGCCTTAGACAGGCACTTGCCCTGGTCAGAGCACTGATACTAAGCTGTCATTAGCTAATTCCCTACAACTTACTTCTTACTCATAAAAATTCCTGCTATGGCTTAGATATGATGACCTCCCAAGGACTCAGTGTCAGATTAGTGTCCACTTTGGTGATAAGGGTGTCAACTTTAAGAAGTGGACCAGTGTCTTCCTCTCACTATATGATCATGCTCACGCCCTGATGGGAGATGTCATTCTGTAAATATGTTTCTCGCATTGGTTAATGAATAAAGCACTGTTGGCCAATGGGAAAGCAAGATAGGCGGGACTAGGAGACAAGGAGGAAGAGGAAGTAGTAGGGAGGAGATCCAAGATGGAAGATGGAGAGAAAGAACGCCAGCCCCTCTCTCCGGTAAGGTAAGACCACATTGAAATAAATACTTAAATTAATAGAAATGGGTTAATATTTAAGACAGAGCCAGCAGATAAGAAACTAGTACCTGGCCAACAGCATTATATCAGATACAGCGTCTCAGTGTATTATTTGGGGCTGGCATGGCAGTGAGACCAGATCGGCCAGGGGAAAAAACACTCATAACAATGCCCCATGTAGTATGTGCCAGGAGGGTCTCATCCCAGCTAAGCTGAGGCTGGCACCATACTCAAGAACCTTCAATACTATGAGCTAAGTAAACTTTTTTGTAAAGTTACCTAGCCTCAGACAGCTTAAGATAGCAGCAGAAAAGCAAATAGCAGTTCAAAAAAGGTTTCAACGGCTGGTAGTCACATCTCTGTGACTCACAGATTTGGACCCTCCTACCTCTGATTCTGCCACCTTGAATGCCTGCTTCGCACTGTTGCCGTGGAAGAGGAAACATCATGGAGGATAGCACACAGACTTTTGGGGGCCAGGGCTGAAAGTGAGCCCACCACTATTGATCACGATCCATCAGTCAGAACTCAAGGGGCTGTGATAGAGACCATATGACAAGCCAGTCTGAAAGCTGACTCTGAAGCCACGGTGTAAATAGCAAGCCCAGAGTAATCTGTGTCCTACGAGCAGCCTGCTCTGAGGGAAGGACAGTCCTACATCATGGACAAGATGACTTTCCAGGCACTCAGCCTCTTCTGAGGGTACTGTTGCTGCCCCAGAAGAACAGCCATACTGCTTACCACGAGAGTCAGTCCGCCCCTCCCTTCCTCCCTCTCACCCTCCTCCCTCCCTCCCTCCCTGTCTCCCTTTCTCTGTCCTTCCTGTGCTCACCTATTCAGTCATCTAAATGGGTCCATCCACTGAGGGTCCCAAACACTCTGAAGACACTAAGAACTCACCCAGTTACCACTGCAATGCCTGCCACCCCTCCGCTGTCACCAGTCCAGGACATGAGGATCCTGCCACCTAGCCTAGGGGATCTCTGGGTTATTTGTGGTTTAATTGTCTCTGAGGCTTCCTACAGCTCTGGGTATTCAGAAGATAAAAATTTAATCTGCCAATATGATTAACAGTGGTGCCTTTGGGAAGTGATTAGGATTAGGTAAGGTCAATACACAGAGTCCCCATGACTGGACCCTGGTGCCTTCAGAGGAGGAAGAGAGTTTAAGGTATATGTGTGTGCACGCACACACGCGCGCACACACACACACACACACACACACACACACACACACACACACACAGGAAGGAGGCTATCATTTAACCTTTTACCTCCAAACCCTTTTCTTTTATAAAACAGCCTGCTTCAGACAGTGCATCATAGTACCAAGACAGATGACCTCATTCTGCAACTCCTTCATCTACACACTAATCACAGCAACTGTGAACCTTGTTTGCAGAACCCCAAAGCTTACTCAAAGAAAAACTTCTGGAGAAACGAGACATGAGTGAAAAGGTAATCTCCAGTCCCAAGCTGTTTGACAAGTAAGGTGTGACTAGGAGAGTACAATTTGTCTTCATAGCACAGCTGGAACCAGAAAGCTGGTGGTGAGGACTCCATGAAAGGGGTGGCCAAGACAAGAAGCCCTCTTGCACTAGGAGGGGCAAAGAGGGGAAGTACCCAGAGACCTGCCACATGCGCATGCCCAGCACCCGCCCTACAGTGCATCCCCTTCACTCCCACTCCACCCTCAGCCCCCAGCTCCATGACTCCAACACCTGTTGTCCTCCCTAGTGGGGCCTAGTGTCTTCCATGGTGGATGCAAGTCCACCAAGGAGCTCCCCAGGCTGCATGCAGCCTGCTGTGGCCGAGCTTTCTGCTGCTGACAGCCCGGCGAGGTCAGTTCTAAGGCACACAGTTCTGTACATCTTTCTTTCTCCAACCTTTTCTTACTCCGAGCAACGAAAGCACCCTGGCTGACTTACTCCCTTCTTCTTGCTGTAGTTCCAGGGACCCAGCAATAAATGATAAATCCTTATATAATAATTCCCCTCTGCCAGCTCCTTCTACTATATTGATTCCTTTCAATTCCATGTTCTCTTCGAATGCTTTTCCATCCTCCCTTCCAACCTGTTCAGGATATATGATATCCATCCTCAACACTAGATACACTGTATCAACACCTGTTTTCTTAGCTGTCTTGGTGCTCCAAATCAATTTCCTCTGTTCACCACTGTAGCCTGCTTGCTGTCTGCTCTGTGGTTGTTTAGTTGCTGTTACAGTGAATGGGGTCCCGTTTATAGAGAACAGAGCAGCATGCCCAAAGGCCAAGGACTCAGCCACAGTCAGTGGGGCATCAGGAGCTTTCTTTGGGTCAAGACCCATCTGTCAAGTCGCTGTGGAAGTTGAGAGCCTCACAGGTCAGGGAGTCCATGCCACCTGGGGAGTTCCAGGAAGGAAACATGACCTGATGGCTAAGTCCCACAAAAGGTTATGACTGTGACAATCTTTGACCCTGTTTACCTTTCTCCTAAGCACTATTGTGGCTAATACCAGCCAGAGGAAAGTGTTAATCTTCTTCACACCTCTAAGACACAGAGCCATAGCAAGTGGCACCTACAAAGCTCTGGACCGTATTCATACTACCCTAGGATGCATGCAGCCTGCAGGTTGCAGGCTGGGCCTGTAACTAATCAGGGTTCTCAAAAGGTGGGATGGTCAATTCCGAAGCCTTCATTACCTAAGCTACAAATACATGTGTACTGACTCTGATTGAAGTTACTGGTTAGAACTACTAGGGAGTTGTGTCAGATAACATGAGTCCCAGTCCTAGGCATGGAGGAATCAAGACACTATCAATGAGGGCCACCTGCTGCATCCCCTGCAGTTGAACAGACGCTGTATCCTCGTGCACGCCACTGTCCTGTCAACGCTGACCATGAAGGCAAAGCAGAGGTGCTCCATTCTGAAGGGCAGGACAGCTGTCCTGTCTGCAGCGCCCTCCTGTTTACTCCTCTCCTGCCAGGATATTAACAGTGGCACTGTTGTCCTGTCCCCAGAGGCACGTGGCTGCTGCACAACCCAAGCTGCACTCCAATTGGTTCCGAACAGAGAACAGTCCCTGTATCTTAGTCAATCAGGAAAATCTCTCTCCATTCATCAAATACCAAATCACAAAGTGAACCGTCAGCAATCAAAGGAGGTCCCAGTATATGTATGTTGCTCACGTGTCCAGCGTCTAGTGGTCAGGAAAAGGCAAACCCCAAACACAAGTGTCATTCAGAAGCAGGAAATAGCTGGAGCCTGAAGCTTCACCCTTAAATATGCACTACAGTGTGCTTCTACAAAGGGAGCAGTCCTGCATTGCAAGGACAAAGCTGCCGCTTGCCTCCTCTCCCTGCTAAAGGCTGTCCTCAATTCTAAGACAGCTCCTCCAAAAAATCACTAGAAGAAAATGCGACCTTAAGAGGGCAAGAACTCAGTCAGCCAAGTGTCTGGAGGCTTCTGGATACCTGCTGAACAGGTGTCCCGGCTAAGAATGAGGCTGTCTGAGCACTGCTCCCCTCTCCTGCCCTTGGTGGGTCCTGACTGCTCTTAGGATCAACTGGAGCTCTGACGAGAATGCCTTATGATTCTGCCTGCCTGTCCCCTGTCCTCGGCTGACCCTAGATTCTGCCATCCTGCACCTCTGGCTGTACCTCCCAGATCCTCCACAGTTGTCCTCTGCAATCTGCACATGTGGTTTTTTCAGGCCTTAAACGCTTGCCCACCTGTCCTCCTTTGTCCAGAAACTTCCCCTTGATCTTTCCAGGCCAGCTAGAGTTCAATCCCACTAACACGCCTGTCTCTCCTCCACTGGTCTCCTGAGAGCCGCTCCCGTTTGCCTCTCCTACAGTCAGTTCTCCAGGGCAGGGCCTGGGCATTTCTTGTTCATGACTATGTCCCCATTACCTAACCCAGAGCAGATGCTTGGGACATACTAGTAACTGCAAGACACCAACCAGGCAGGGTTGCTCTCAGCCAGCAAGTCATAGGCCTCTCTGGAATGAAGAGTGATCCATTCCAGTGTACCCAGAAGAGCTGAGGCAGGACTCACTGCCCATAGCCACCGATGAGGCCTACCCTCACTTCTTCCAGTGCCATGTGCCAAGGGTGGGCTCTGAAAAGCCCACCAGGAACCAAAGCCTACTGCAAATCTCTGAGCACCACACAGAGGCTCTCTGGGTTTTCCAGTTCATTTATTTAGGTAAGTCTTTAATCAACTCGGGGCGTCATCAACCCCAAGCTTGTCACTGGGGAGCAAAGAATGGCTCTTTCTAGGATTCAAGGAAAAGCAGACTGAACTGTACCACTCCCCGACGACGCTGGCCTACTTGGTAAAAAGCAAGCCAGAGAGGAGGTTATCGCCTGGATTTCTAGACAATTCTCAGTGTACTACAATGTGAGCTCTCCCTGCCTCATAGCAAGTTAGCACCTGCTATAAACAACTTCCACCTACCCCTCCCCCATGCCTTACCTAGGGACCAACATTAACAGCAACAAATGAAAACTATGGCCCTCTCACAGCAAAACGAGGCAGGGGAAGAGTCTAAAGTCTCATTAAAGTTTCATTATCCTTAAGGGGAAGCCCGCAAATTGAAAAAAGTCAGAAGGTGTGTGTAAGCTGGCTTGCCGCTGCTCAATCGTGGACAGGACAGGGTGTATTCATGCCCGGTAGTAGGCACAAAGTGTCCATTTCAGAGCCAGTGACATCTGTGGTGACTGCACAGCAGGAGCCTAAAGGTGGCAGAAGGGTTAGTAGACTCAGCCCTAGTTTGCCCGTGAGTCTGCCGCTCCAGCATGAAACTGCTCCAAGCTGGGGCTCCCTGCAGCAGAGTCTAGAAACAAAACACTTCCTCTCTTTTTAACAGTAAAACCTCAAACCACAGAGGTGTCAGCAAGGAGGAAAGTGGGCAGGAGAAGCCCTCTAATTGTCTATTCTTCTCAGCTGTTTATTGGATCGTTAAAATCTTACAAAGACTTCAGAATGATCTTAATTGTTGGAGCCAAGGTCTGTCTCAACTGCTTCTTCAAAAGTCACTCACTTCAAACTCAGGAAACAGGTCCCTACGATTCTTCTAAAGGACTCTTTCAAGGGATCCGCTGCTCAGCAGTGTTATCGGCGGCCTGGGAGGGAGTGGAGACAGGGCTCGTCATCTTGCACACCTGTTGTCAGGTGACCCAGCCGGCAGCATCCTCAGCCTTCCGTGTCCACTCACCCCACCCCCAGAGACTCTTCTCGGCTGTCCCCCTGCGCGCGTGGAGCCTACAGCCTTCCGGAGTCACCTTAAAATAACACCTCCCCACCACAAAGCAAACAAAAGGCGAGCGCGAGCAGCGGGGCTCCCATGGCTCCTCTGCAGCCCTCCAGGGCCTGGGATTCGGTCCGCGAGTGGTCCCCGGGCCTCCCCTAGCCAGGCCTCGCGGCGGGTCCCCTCCAGCCGGCCACACAACAGCCCGAGGCTCGCGCCCCACTTATTGTGCCCAGGAGAACACGCGCGGGCCGGCGGCGCGCGACCAAGTGCAACTCCGAGGACAGCAGCTCCGGGCCCGGGCGCACGGGCCGGTCACGGGGCCGCCGGGCCTCGGCGTCCTCGGGCCCGCATCAGCTCTGGCTCTATCTCCGGGGGAGGGACCCGATCACCCCTCTCCCACAAAGCGCCCCGGCGGGGTCAGGGGTGCGTCTCCGAGAGAAGTTGGTTTCCGGGTTTGCTTTCCGAACAAAACCACCCGGACCCGCGCGCTGCCCGGGCAGGGCCTCGGCGGGCTCCGCGCAGCCCGAGGACCGAGGGCAACCGGCCGAGCTGTCCCGGACGCCAGGCAGGGCCGCTGCGCACGGCGCGGGAGGGCGCGCGGGGCCCAGACGGTGCGGACCGGCCGCCTGCGGCTCCGAGGCCCGCGCGGCACTTACCGGGCGGCTGCAAGGTGTGGGGCCCGAGCCCTGTCGGCCGCTCGCGCCGGTGCGCTCCGCACTCCTGCCGGCCCGCCCACGCCTCCTCGCTTCCCGCCCGCGCGTCCCGCGCTCGCGCCCTCCGCCCGGCTCCGCTGGAACCAGTGAACTGGAACCACTCGCGGCGGCCCCGGGATTCCCACAATGCACAGCGCGCCGCTCGTCACATCCCTTCCCGGCCTCGCGCGTCCGGCCACCCCTCCCCGCGCTACCCGGCGCCCCGGCCTTGACCCCGGGCCTGCGCGGGGCCCCGGACGTCCACCGCTCCAGCCGCGGCTGCACCCAGGCCTGGCGGCCCGCCCTGGCCCCAGGCATCGGTGCGCGCGCCGGAGCCTCAGGAAGATGCTTGTCCAGGGCGCGTCTCAGCCTGTGCTTCTGCTTGCGCCGCACGGGAGCGTCGTCCACAAAGACCGAGGATATAGTATAATTTTCTCCCTGGCCATTGCAAGCTCCCTGCGGCTCAAGCCAGCCCTGTTCGAGCCGCTCCCTGCCCCAAGATCGTCGGCTGCATCTCAACTCTCCGAATTCAAAGGGTCCTTCCCAGCTGGCCTCAAAGTCTGGTCTTGCTTTGTCCGTGGGATCGGTTGGCTACCGCCACTAAGCAAACGTCTGTTGGCTCTGAGTGGGGATTTACTGGTATAAGCAGTGACACTTTTATTACACATTTATTAAGGATGGGAAGGAGACAGCCAGAAAAGGGATAGCAAAGTCTATTTGCAGACCCAAAGGCTCTCGCCCAGGCCCAGGCAGCACTGAGATAGCAGCAGGCATTTGGGTTTTAGCAGCTGAGAGCCAGCTCTCCACCCCTTGCGCATAACTTTAAAGCCACACTAAGCACTAATACCTGTACTCCATGCATTCATTATTTCAAGTAAATGCTTAGAACATACTTTTCACCCTGCATACATTTGGGTATTGGATAGGAAAGTTGTGAATACCACAGGCAAAAACTCCCTACCCTCCTAGAGTTTGCAGTCTGGTGGGGAAAGAAACGCAAGAGACAAAGAAGTCGTGTATGACAAGGTGTAGATTCTGGGATGAAATAGGGTGGGGAAATTAATAGGAAAGGTAAGACAGGGTGTTCAAGAGGCAGTCTTGGGGCTGGAGAGGTGGCTCAGTGTTTAACAGCACTCCATGCTCTTGCAGAGGACCAGGGTTCTGTTCTCAGCACTTATGGGGTCCTGATAAATCCAATCGGGGGATCCAGTGCTCTCTTCTGACATCCATGGGCACTAGGCACCACGTGGTGCACACACACACACACACACACTAGAGGAGAACACTCACACACAGAAAAAAATAAGTACATCTAATTGTTATTTTAAAGAGCTGGCTCAGTAAGAAAGAAACATTTAAGGAAAGGCCTGGAGGAAAAGAAGGTAGCGAGCAAACCATGGGGTTACCGTAGAGGAGCCTGAGGCTCTGAGGCAGGAGCATGTCTGAAACTACTATGGACCAGACTATGAAAATGGAGTCTAGAAAATGATGGGGAAACATATTAGTCAGACTTTCTGTCATTGTAACAAATACCTGAGAGGAACAATTTAAAGAAGATTTAAAAAAAAAAAAAAAAAAAAAACCTAAACTACATTTCAGGTTTCAACCCATAGTCCATGGCTCTAATGAAATGGGACACCAGAGTGGGAGAGCACAGAACAGAGGCCACTCATCTCATGGCAACCAGAGAGCAGAAGGAGGGTACCAGGACCAGATACACTCCAGTGATGAGCCCTCTGTAACCCAATCCCTCCCAGTCGGACTCACAAAAGTCCTCAAGTAGTGAAGCCAGCTAAAGACCAGGATTTCCATAGTGAGCTGGTAAGGGTGGGCATTTCATACTTGAGCCATAATATCTGCCCCTGGGTGCTAAAGGCTCTGGGTCATCTCAGAATACAAAAGGCGAGGGTCTCCATGGTCTTAATATTCCAATATTGTTCAAAAGTTCAAGTCTAAAATCCTGAGGCTTGAGACAAACTCATTTTGTGAGCCCCTGTAGCCATGGGTCTCAACCTTCTGAGTGCCTCAGCCAGTGAAACCAGCCAAACACTTCTCTAGGTGCTTTTGTGTGAGCAGAGAACTACCTAGCACACTCCTGTCAAGGGAAAGTCTTCAAATGGTCCTATTGTGAACAGATACTCAAAAGGAGCAAATTAGGGAAGATTAATCCCAACTCACAATTCCAGAACATCCAGGCGGGGAGTGCATGCTGGGGCAGCTCACATTACCGTGCCCGGTGCCACCCAGACTCATGGCAGATCTCCCTTCTTAGTTACTCCTTCCAAAGATATGGTTTACTAATCTGGATGCTTCTTACTCTATTCCAACTGGCAATGGAGATATAACCAAGATTTGCCATCGTGGAAAACTGAGGGAATGAAGATGCTTCAAATTCCAAACAAAGCATTCAAGATGCTAAGAGCAGGCATGAGGGAAGCCAGGGGGCTGACCTCCTTTGTCGCTTGATCCCCCTCTGAATGCTTGGGCAGGCACCCTCAGTTCTGCAAAGGCCACTGGGTGCCACCTCCACCCCTGTACCCCCAGTATGTTATCCACACAGACTGCAATAAGAATACAGTAGTACCCTTGTGCTGTCTGGTGTAACAACACTTGCCCTCCATCTCTCCCTCCACCTTGGGCCCCACCCCTATCTCAGTGAGCTACCCCTTCCCAGACTGGATTGGGGAGACACACAGCTGCTCCTCTTAGTTTCTAACGACTTTGGGTTTTTTTTTTTTTTTTCCAATTGCAAAATAAATGTGTGCTCATCATGGAAACTAGAAAGATAAAAATGCTCAAAAGGTGAGCAAGCACTCACTGGGAAAGAGTGTTCCTCGCTGAGGAAGGGGCAGTTTGTGAGTTACATGGGTTTCCTAACCCTGCTTCGTATTAAATGTGTATGGTTTCCACTTCAGTGCTCAGCACCTGCTTTTAAACTTAACGGTCCTTCATGAGCATTTTACCAGAGAGTTTTCCTATAACCACAGCTCTCAAACTGTTTGGATTGAGAAACCCTTGACACTCTTAAAAATTGCTGAAGACCCTGAAAGAGTTGTGTGTGTGTGTGTGTAATATCTGAGTGTGTGTGTATAATATCTGAGTGTATGTGTATGTATGTGTAATATCTGAATATGTGTGTGTGTAATATCTGAGTGTGTGTGTGTGTGTGTGTGTGTGTGTAATATCTCTCTCTGTGTGTAGTCTCTACTAAGGTCTAAGGATGTAGTTCAGTATTAGAGGAGGAAAGGTACTTAGCAAGTGCATGACACTACATTCAAGCCCTTACACTGCTACAAAAAAATTACCATTAGAAACTAAACTAAAACTGAGAAAAAAATAAATATTCAGCAAAATGTTCATTTAAAAACATTAGCATATGTATAATACAATACTCTTATAACAATAATTGTATTAACCAAAAAGGTAGCAAGAAGAGCGGCATCATTCTATAATTTAGAACTCCTCTTGAATGCCTGATTTAATAGGAGCTAGGTTCTGGTGTCTTCTGTATTCAGTCAGTTGCTATATTCAGTTTTGATGAGTCAGCTTTGTACATATAGATGTACATTTGAAGTAGAGAGTTGAATCTTTTCTGATACTTGAAGATACTTTTTGATGCTATAATCAAATTAAATAATATTTTGAGAATGTATTTATTCTTTAATGTGTATGTATGTGCCCAAGTGCATGTGTACACACTACCTGCTTACAGGTACCCATGGAAGTTAGTAGGGGGCGTTGGGGCTCCTAGAACTGGAGTTACAGATAGAAACTGCCTAACGTGGGTGCTGGGAATCAAACCTGGGTCATTTGGAAGAGAAATCAGTGCTCTTAAAGACGAGCCATCTCTCTAGCCCCAGTAATAGTTTCTTAAAGGGTATTGCAATGTAGAACCTCAAACCAGTGAGTCAATTTTTGTTTGGTTTATTTTCTTGTTTTTCAAGACACGGTTTCTCTCTATTGTTTTGGAGCCTGTCTTGGAACTAGCTCTGTATACCAGGCTGGCCTTGAACTCACAGAGATTCTCCTGCCTCTGCCTCCCCAGTGCCGGGCTTAAAGGTGTGTGCTGCCAATGCCTGGCTCAGTGAGTCAGTTTTTGATGGCAGGTGAATTACAATGCATTATGTCTGGAAGAAATATGTGCCCCAAACTAACAGGGGCAATTCCTCACCTGGGTGAGGTTCCTTCTTCCTGGGGAACTCTTTGGATCAAGGTGATAGGAACGAACCTACATGCAACTGGGAGGTTATCAGGATCACTGTGGACAACAGATGTTTCAAATTTGTAGTTTTTGCTTAAAAGCTCAACCAGATATTTTGGAAAACAGTAATGTCACAAAGACTGTCCTTGAAATAACCAGTTTGTTCTTTCTGTTTTAAACACTTCATCCAAAAAAGAAAAAAGAAAAAAAATCCACTCAAGAGGCAGAAGCAGGTAGGGCTCTATTAGTTTGAAGCCGGCCTGGTCTACACAGCAAGTCCCAAGCTAGCTAGGGATTCATAGGGAGATCTTATCTGACTTCAAAAACAAACTGCTGGTAAGAAGACAGATACATTGTTAGGGTCTATGGACTCTTCTTCTTGGGAAGAAGGCGGATACATTGTTACGGCCTATGGACTCTTCTTCTTGGTGTAAGAAGACAGATACATTGTTACAGTGAAGACAGATACATTGTTACGGCCTATGGACTCTTCCTCTTGGGGAAGAAGACAGATACATTGTTACGGCCTATGGATTCTTCCTCCTTTGGAACTGTCCCTGAAAAATGTCTTACCTGGATGCTCAGTCCTCCTGAAGAGTAATGCTGAGGCCTGTGGGTTTTTACAGACCTACAAAAATGTCATAATTCTTTTTAAAATCAGAAAATGAAGGTTAGGTCCATTTTTTTATTGAAGAAAACTACATATATTTGTTTTCATGACAGCAAAATCACAAAATACTTTTTTTTTTCTTTCTTTTCCCAAAGGATGAGGTTAACAAAGGCACAATTGTCTATGGTCCACGCAAGCACTATAGTCCTGCATCATTGGGCCAATTTGAAATGTGTTCCTTAGAAAATGTAGGGGTAGTGATGTAAATACTTTTCTTTGGGTGACCATTCACGTTTGTCAGATAGCAAAAGCACCTCATTACCACATGTG